GTTGTTGCCGGCAGGCTTAAAGTAATGCTGGCAAGGCAAAGAGGAAATAAAAGAATTGCATCTAGTGGGGATGGGTAGGTGGGGGCAATCAGTTTAATTCTTTCTGGTGTGAGGAGAAAGTATTTAATTTTCAAAGAATCTGTGGACCCAGGTATAAAACTGTCTTGCATAGGTTGCACTCAATGGCTCTTGTGTGGATCATGAAAGAAAGTGTAGATGAAGGGCAAGATCTGACCGTGCCTCAGATGAGGCAGTGCATGTCCCCAGGAGACATTGGTGTTGCGGGGAAGCGGGGGTGACCGGATCCTGAAGCTACTGCTGGAAGAAATAACAAGATTGTGCTTAGAGTTTCTCAGTTCACATCTCTGGTGGCATGGGCCTTTCCAGGGCCAGAAACAAAACTCTAAGATAAAAGGAGCAAACAAAAAGGGCCTAATCCAGTTCTGACCACCAAACTTTAAGTAGGATTTAGATAAATTGGAACAAGTTGAGAAGGGCAGCAGTGATGAACAGGGGACCAGAATCCAAGTCCTATGAAGAATACTACATGAATTGATACATTTAGCCTTGTGAAGAGAAAACTGAGGGAGGAAATGTTAGCACTTTCAAGTATCTAAGCAGTTTGTCACACAGAAGAGTTCTGCAACTTGTTCTCTGTCATCCAAGACTGTGGGACACAAAATAAAAAAGCTTAAGTTACAAGAAGGCAGATTTGGTTGAAGTTCAGGAAAAACTTCCTAAGGGTCAGACCAACAGTAGATGGAGATGGTAGACATTAAATTGATGGGAATATTGAAGCAGAGAATGGACATTCATCCGGCAGGGATGCTTTAAACTGGATTTTTGGACTGAGCAAGGGATTGGACCCGGTGGCCTAAATGATCCCTTGCAGCACAATGCTTATACAATAAAAATATTGTTATTGTAGCTTATTCTTGATTTTCAACCAATGGATTATTTTTGGTTTTTTGTCTTTTTATTAATTGGTGGCAAGAACCATAACAATTGCTGAAGTTGTATAATGAAAAAAGGGTATATTTTTGTGTAAAGTGTGATGTGGTAGAAATTGGGGACTGAGGAGGTCTAGGTTCTGGTCCCTGCTTGGCCATGTAACTTGCTGGGTGACTTTGGCCAGTCACAGACACTCAACCTAGCAGTGTTGAGTTGTGAGTATAAAATGGAAAGGAGGAAGAGAATTATGTAAGCTGCCCTGGGTTCTTTGCAGGAAAAATGGTGGACAGAGAGTCTACAGCTTTGTCTTTAAAAGGCCTGCAGGCCACATAAATTGCCCCCCTACTTTTTTGAAGCCCCCTTAGAACTTTTAGGTTTGTCACCTAAGTGCTTCTTCTGGACTGCTCTTAACCCATGTAAAGCTTTGAAGATCAGCACCACCCCTTTGAATTGGTTTGGAAACTGACTGGTCAACTATGCAATTGACAAAACAGGGGTGCTGAATGTGACACAACCATTAAAGGGGCACAGTTAGGCTTTCCAGCCTCTGAAACCAGTTGGGCCATCTCTGATTCTTAGCACTGCTTTGAGATAATTTTGCAATTGCCTCAGGAGAGATGCTGTAATTATGTCTTGTAACAATAACTAATTCCCTGAAGGTTCAAGGTTGAAACAGTGTTTGGGAGGTGTCCTTTCTTAATGCAGTCTGTTTCTTGTTACTCTGCAGTGCCATGGTTCAGTGCCTTGCAGAGGCATTCACACACACCCCTTTGAATTTTCCACATTTTGTTGTGTTACAACCTGGAATTGAAATAGATTTAATTGGCACTGTTACTACTTGATGTAGGCAAGATACTTGACACCATGAAAGTGCAAAATGTTTTTATTGTGACAGAAAATAAGTAAACAAAGACAAAGTGTCACTTTTCGATTGCATAAGTATTCATTTATTTGAGTCAATACTTGGCAGAATGACCTTTGGCAGCAATTACAGTTGCAAGTCTTCTCTGGAGAAGTCTCCATTAGCTTTGTGCATCTAGATCCTGCAGTGTTTGCCCATTCTTCTTGGCAAAGCTGTTCTAGCTCTGTCAAGTTGGATGGGATCTGTTGGTGAACAGCAACTTTCAAGTCTTGCCAAAGATTCTTAATTGGATTGAGGTCCGGGCTTTGACAGGCTGTTCTAAGACATTCAGGTTCTTGTGACTAATCCATTCCAGTATTATTTTGGCTGTGTGTTAAGGTCACTGTCCTGCTGGAAGGTGAATCTCCAGCCTAGTCCCAGATTCCCTGCAGACTGGTGCTCTTGGCGCAGTGTTGGCTTTGTGGTACACATAACATCTTGCTGCAAAAACAAAAAGTTCAGTTCTGGTCCCATCAAAGCAAAGATTCTTTTCCACGTGTTTGTTGTCTCTCTCACATGCCTTTTTGCAAACTTGAAGAAGGCGTCGATACGGGGTTTTTTCAGCAACAGCTTTCTTCTCACACTGTTCCATAAAGCCCAGCTATTTGGAGTGTCTAGGTGATGTTGCCCCATGGACAGTTTCTCCTATCTCAGCTGCAGATCTCTCCAGCCCATTCAGAGTTACCACTGGCCCCTTGGTTGCTTCTCTGACTAATGGCCTCCTCACCCAGTGGATGGCCTTCCCTAGGCAGAGTTGTGGTTGGGTTGTATGCCTTCCATTTTTTCCATAATGGATTGAATGGTGTTACAGGGAATGGTCAAAGTTAGGGATACTTTTTTTAAATAACCCAATCCTGATTGATGCTTCTGACAACTTTAATCCAGAGTTGTTTCAATAGCTGCTTGGTCTTCATGGTGCTGTTTGTTTAGATGGACTCCCCAAGAAATTCTGGGGCCATCCAGAAACAGGTGCATGTAATCTGAGATGACCTGACACTGGAATTGCTCACAGGTGGACTCCATTCAACTACTAAAAAAGACTTCTGGAGACAGTGAGTTGCACCAACACTTATTCAGACAAGTTGTAACTAAGAGGTGCCAGTCTGTTTTTGCTTACTCGACTTCTGTGCCACAATAAAAACAGTTTGCACATTCACTGTATTGAGTATCTTGTGTGCATCAAATACCTGAAGTGGTGACAATGCTAATTGAATCCATTTCAGTTCCAGGTAGTAACACAACAACATGTGGAAAAATCAAAAGGGTGCATGCATGCTTGTGTGAATACTTCTGCAAGAGTGGGGTGAACTCTTCTGAGACTGTTTGCCATGTGACTCACTTAAATGGTGAGGTTTTTCAGCAAGGTCAGAAGTGTAGTACTCAGAGTTGTACTTCAGTGCTGAATTTTAACCTTCCTTGTCATTCAGAAAGCTGCTTCTCTTGACACTGCTGATTATTACACTGGTATGTAGTCTTTAGTACGTATACACTTTATTATCTTCATGTTAGGTCTTCTAAAAAGCACATCCTGATTGTCAGAAAGGTCACTGATGGTAGTTCCCAACAAACCATTAATTTCATGCAGTTTTCTCAACATCTCAAAGATACTCACTCCTTTTTAAAAGAGAGAAATAGAGGTCAGCACTGCTTTTAAGGTGATACTAATTTGGCTTGGTAGGTACCCAAAATGATTTGCTCTTTCTGGCATACAAGTACTGTAGAATGGGAGAGATGGAAAGTTATACATTTGGAACTTTTTTCATGGGATAGACGTGTACAAGGCTTTGAGGTTCTCTGAACTTGTCCTGAGCAAGGAATTATAAAAAATTGTAAACATTTGCACATCTAAACCACCTTAACTGGAACTCAGGAACTTGTCCTGTTTATTTAATTATCTTTATTATGCCTGTATTTTCAAACTGTTCAATAACTGAAGTTCTCTGGTTGGGTGTGCAATGCATTAAAAACAAGTTATTTACTTGTCTGGACATTAAGATTGATTGGGATTCCCTCTTGAGGGTGCCTCATTTGCCTGGAGTTCAATATGTATCAATTTGCTCATGATACAGGTACCTTTACTGTGAAACTGCCTCCCTCCTCATGTATGGATAATGCCAAGTCTTACAAGCTTTTGGTGTTGCTGAAAGACCTGCTTTTGATGCAATGTTTTCCCCTTGTCATTGGATGCATCGTATCTGTTTATTTATACATTTCTCTTCTTCCCTGTTACTTGTTTGTTAATTTTGTATTTTTCTGTGTTGTCTTGCTTGTACTTCACTTGGTGATTCTTTGATAATGAAAAGCAGGAGAGAAATTTAATAAAATCAATTAACGGAGTGTTCCTGTGGTCCCTGGGCTTTATCTGTGGTGTCACGGGATTTTTGGATTCCCAGATTTTAGGGTGCAGTCAGTACTCTGACCTCAGAGCTGGAAACCTGTGCCCTTTGCTTTCTGAAGTCAGGAAGGTGACCCCAGAGAGAACAGGAAAGGTGAACAATGTGCAGGGGGACATATTGGACTGGCCAGGATCAAGAGACACCCTAGTTACACCATCAATCTAGTGCAGTGGTGGCTGGCGCACAGAGCCCTTTCTGTCGGCACGCAAGCCAAGTCGCCCCAGCATCGCCCCAGCAGCCAAGCATCGGATAACAGGTTTTATTGCAGTGTCGGCACTTCGTGATAAATAAGTGGGGTTTGGGTTGCAGTTTGGGCACTCGGTCTCTAGAAGGTTCACCATCACTGGTCTAGTGGAATCACAGGGCAGGAGAACAGGGATGTCCATAAGACCCTGGGCTTAGGGGCTTATAGAGATCCTGATTGGATTGCATCCTGAAATAAATCCTCAGGGATGCAGCCTGGAACATGTTCGGAATTCCTTCTAAATGAACTCTTAACAGCTTTCAAAACTATGAGTTTCACATTTTTTGGGAGAAACTTATGACGGTTAAACTAATTTGTTCACTGTATAGATATAATAGTAAAATGCCCCATTTTGAAATGACCACATGCACACTGACATTCTTTAACTTTACTTTTTGTTTGCTGCCCCAAATGCTAATGCTTAGTTTTAAATACAAGTGTTCATGATTCTCATAACAAACTGCTTTGTACCAGCACCCCTCTTGAAGTCAATACTTTTCTTGCCTAGGATAATTCCTGTGTTAGAGGATTCTTCACCGCACACCTCACCAAGCAACCTGTCCAGCTCTGACAGTTTAGATGTCAACAGGGCGTACTCTCAAAGAGTAAGTCGCTATGATCTGGATGAAATCGATGCTTGCTGGTTGGAAATCTTCAACATGGAGCTCAAGGAAATGGGTACGTATTTGTGGATCTGTTATTTGTCACCTGTGTTACATGCACGGAGGAGATTTGCCCCTTTTCAGTTCAGTTTTCAAAGCTGAAATTTCAAAGCAAACATGCTTTCTTCTGTTGTATGGTATCTCCTGGCTCAAGGATAAATATTGCATTGGGATTATTGTGGTTCTGTTCCACTACTCCTCTTGCATTTCCAGAAATTTCCTGGAAATGATACATGCAGAAAAAAAAGAATGGAGAAAATAGCCATTTCAAGATGAAACATGTAGCTAACATCTAGAACTACTGAGCGATCTTGATATACTTGTTACTAATGTAGAAACTGATATGTCTTTGTTTTCCAAGGGATAGGGGAAAGATGGAATAGGTTGAATAATAAGAAGCAGATCCAATCTTATTTGAGGTAACTTACTTGTCTAGGAGAACAAGTTTCTACGTTTCTTAAATATTGATTTGTTGAATAGTAGGCAGCTGTATGCTTCACTGCTCATTCTGGAATACTTATTCTCTGCACAGAAAGTAGAAGGTTCCCTTTTGGCCCAACTATCAAAAATAACTCAAATCCTTAAAATCTTTCCTGGACGTTTTCTGTACACTGCCCCAGTGGTAGATCGTCTGATAATACCATTTTACAGTGATTCAGTCCCACATTTCTCCATGAAGACAAGACACTTCTGATCAGATGTGCTTGGATTAATCATGTTAGCCCTGTCCAGAGGATTCTCATTCCCAAAAAAATACTGACATAGTGGGGCTGTACATGTAGTCCTGCTTCCAAGGTTGCACATGGCATTAGGAAAGGAGCAGAACATGCAGCATCCAAGCCCCTGTTGCTGCTTGACATGGGTAACTGAGTGAAATTAATAATAGGACTTTTCTTGTTTCCAGAATTTTGGTGGAAAGCAAGGGCAGGAGAGCTTGGTGAGAAACAACACAAACAGTGCAACCCCATGTGATCAGAGCTCCCTATGAAAACAAAGCAATATGGCTTCCAATCACAGGCTAACTGTTTATTTAAGTAGCTACCAAAATACTTTGGTAACATCAAATCGGCTTTGGGAATCCCTTTTGCTTTTGCATTCAGAATCTTTTTGTTCTGCAGAAGGGTCAGATTTGTGAGCGTGCCTCTGCAGAGTCCTGTCTGAGCCCTGCACAATCTTTAGTGTATTTAGTCATGCATCTGTGAATTGGAACGGTGCTGTAGCATCCAGTTTTTACAAGGTTGACTCAGCCATTTACCAAACATGTCAAAGAAAATACGTTGCAAAGCGGGGAACTTGCCACATACATCCTTCACAGAGTGTTTTTCTTCTTCTTCCAGGACTCAGCCTTATTTATTCAGTGTCTTGAAACCACAGTACCAATGTACAGCCCCCCACTTCCCCCAATAATCATACTCCTAGGAAATGCTAGGTTGACGTAGAAGCCACAATACAAACACACACCAATGTATAGGTGTGATAAACCCTCTAACACATTTGCCCTGCATTTCCACTTCCATGTTGAGGCTGTGCTGCTTTCGAAGAAAGCAGGAATTACTTCAAAACAAACTAAATAAGATTGCAAAGCACGGTCTGGGAAAGTAGGGAGTTTCTGCTTAGCACTGTCCAGAGCCTCATGGGAGCACTTTCCCTTGCATTATTAGTTCCCGGGTTCCATGCTGGAGGAGAGGGAAGGACAGAGGGCAATTGAGGGCAGAGTTTTCTTGAAGGTGCTCTGAAAAATCAGCAAAACAAAGGAGTCAAGCAAAACCTTATCATGGGATTCCCCAGCCTGTTGCCTTCCAAATGCATTGGGAAAGTCTGCCTTATTGGTCTATCTTCCATTGCTAAGAAAGTATGTTAGCCTTTGACTAATGCATACTTCTTTTATTAGTGTATCAGTTCATTTCTGGAGGATGGTGCTTTGGTTGTTTCCTGTTTTTCGACTTGTATATTCATTAAACAGGCTTGTTTTTGTCATAATCTATACTGCACACAAACTTGCTGCTGCCTAGGAAAAAGGGAGACATCGCTGCTAGAACTTGGGGTTCATTCCTCTGGCTGCAGCACATGACCCTACCATTCACAGTGTTTTTTCCAGGCTAATTGATAGGCTTCTAGAAATGGGACTTTTAACTATTCTGATTGCATATATCTTCCAGGAGAAAGCACATTCTTTCTCTGAATGCTTTCAAAACAGAATAGATATCTTTCCAGGATAAATAAAGTATATAATTAATTCTTCACTCTCAAAACAGGACAAAAGTCCCGTTCCTTTGTTGCTGTCACATGCCTGTGATCAGCTCCCCTACTCAGTAGAAATACTCAGTGTAAAGAGCTGCCAGCTGATAATATGATGAACATTTAACTGTGTCTGAAGGTTTTATTGGTTGTTGCTGCTGCTGTGTGTGAGAATAAAAGAAGTTGGTCTAAAGTAATTTGGATCAAACACTGAACCACATTCACATGTAGGCAGCACGAGGCCTTTTCCCATTTAAGCAGAAGCTGGGCCACAAATCTTCATTTATGTTTTTATTAAGATTTCACGCCGTATATTTTCATCTTCATTTAATCCAAAGCTATTGTATGATTGGGCCTACGGAGACTTCAAAGGCTTGAGGAGAAAAGTCCCTTCTCTACTAGGCAGCCCTCTCCCCCCGCCCCATTCTCCAGCCTCACACAGTCTCTTTTTCTCTCTGTCACAAAAATATCTTCAGAGAGATTGCTAAAATCCAGTGAATCCCCAACTCATTCTTTTTCAAGGCCTTTAGTATTTCCAGATTCCTTTGGCTACATGAGTTACACTACACGCCTGCATGTCAGATCAGGACCAAAGTCCCAGAGTTGGTACTGTGGGACTCTGGTTTTGTCCCTGGGAACCAGCCCTGCTAGCTGAGGATCTTTTGCCCCATGGGGCAGAGCAGCAGTGGGGCACTGTGGACCCATCCTAATCTGTATGAGAAGCCCGGCAATGTCTTGTGTCAGCAAGAAGCCACAGTAGGAAGAATTCTTCTTTGTTTTATGAACAAGCAGGACAGTTGGCCAGCTCTGCCCTGCCTGCCAGGGTTGTCCACTAGAGCTGGGATGAACCCTTTTGGCATCCATCCCTCTAGCATCTGCAGACTTCCTCTCTTGCTTGGCCCAGTCCTGCAAAATAAGCGAAGAGGAAGTCCACAAACACTCACTGGCCTCTGGTTGCACCACTGGCAACCTTCCCTGTTAGGTGCATCCACTGCAGGACACGGAAGAGGGACGTTGTGAGCAGTTCTGCCAGGCGCTGTTTGTGGCAACATACCTTCTTACTCATCCGGCGCAGCCTGCAGCATGAGTGCCCCATGAAATGTGTTGAACCACCAGAAACTCAGATGCAGGACTACTGCAATGCAACTGGAGTCTGGAGAGCTGAGCCCAGGGACTCCAGTGGATTCCCACCCGCAGACAGATGGCTTGTATGTCCTGTTGTCCACCCCATGCAAGGGCATGCGTAGCCTCACTGCCTGACTCAAGGACGATGCTGTGGCAGCTGCTATGGAGGAAGCCTCTGTTTGTTCTGCAAAAGCGAAAACAGGAGACAGCACTGTAGCCCATTCACACATTTCCTCCCCTTTTATGACTGAGGTGTTTTCCTTTCAACCATGGCATGGTGGTCAGAAATTTTGCAAGTCCAGCTTTTCTTAATGGCCCTGCTGCCCATATTTTGAACACAGTTTGCCTTACAAGTGTGCCTGGCCTGTTTCTCAACAGTCTCATCAACTCGAATAGTCTTTGTTTGCAGTCCTATACAGTGGAAGTAGGCAACCAGGTACTTCCAGACATTGTGGCCTACAACTTCCATCTTCCTTGTCCATTGGCCTGGCTGGACCAGTCTAAGTAATCCTGTTTAGAGTAAACTGATTGAAACAGGTTATTCATTTCATTTTGATGAGTCTACTCTTAAGAGTGTTAATATTGGATACTTCCTATGTTTCCTACCCCTGATAAAGTCACATACCTGAGAATACCTTTTATTGGACATGCCCAGGATGTTGTTGCTGCTGTTATTCTTAATTATCAGATGGAGCTGGAAGCAGAAGGTGGTATCATTAATCACCTGAGAAGAAGTGAGTATAAAATAGTTACAGTTCATAAGTTCTAGAGGAGCTTTTTTTTTTAAGTGTCTGAGTCCAAATCAGTCAAGGGTGTAAATGCACGGTTACCTCTGTCCTCCATAATCTGGTGCTGCAGGATGAAAGTAATAGGAAAACAACCATCAGGAAGACTCCAGGGAGCTCACAGTCCAAAAATGCAGATGCAGGCTTGCCCTAGAATTCAGAGCCTCCAAAGGAGACTCTTTAAAAATGGACAACTGACTAAAGGAACTTTAAGAGCTAAATACACATAAATAAACCACAGCAGTGCTGATGAAGGGAAAACCAGAGAGCCTGTGTGGTTTCTTTGATGGCAGTAAAATAACTGGGCCACAGCTTCAGCAAAAGATTTATAGTGGGTGTCTTGGCGGGTTCTAATACCGGAAACTATCAAGCAGGCTAGGTAGGCCCTTCTTGCTTGAAAAGCCACTTTTATCTGAAAAGAGCTCTATGGTGTAAGAAAGAGTGCTATTTGAGAGAGCGAGAGAGGGCCTGATACTGAATATCTTTCCATAATCAATTAATCATGGTGCTGCAATTACTAGGATGCAAGCCTGTGTGTAGATTTCAAGCTACTGACCTGCAGGCAACAAGCCTGCAATTGCCAATATCCTATTACCAGTCTCTCTTCATAAGAATCAGTTGTCTATTTGCAGTGAAAGGCTCTGAGACCACATTCTGTTGCTTCAAAAACTAATTGTATAAGTAAAAGTCTAAAATTGTTAAGCTCAGCCTAAGTAATCAGCTTGGAAAGGCTGTGGTGACATTGGAACAACTAAGCCAGTGGCAGCCAGAGGGTTACAATCCCTGAGACCTTCTGCTGCTATTTGATAAGATAAATGGCCTTTCATTTTTAGGGTCAGGCACTTATTTTGCAAGCAGGAGTGACAGC